TCCGATACCAGTATGTTATGAAAAAAATATTATACTACGCCTGCATATAATAAAAATAAATTCCAGGATTTTGTCTGTTATCCTTGTTGCTTTTGGGCTGTCTCTGGGGAATGTTTCCCGTCGCTGGAAGGCAGCTTCCAGAGTTTGCTGCTGCGGCTCGTCCTTCTTTTTCCCTTTTGTTTTAAAACTCGTCGTGCTCTTTGGGGTGACGCGTCTTCCAGTTTTCATTAAATTGCTTGCGTTAAAATGAGCAACACTCCGTGCCACCCTTGAGATGTTATCTTTGCAACACGTTACATATCGCAGTCTTTACTGGTGGAAGATTTCCAGTGGTGAATATTGCCACACCGCCGACATGATAGTGCTACTTATCTTAGCTCCCAAGCCCTCGCTTCAAACTGGCTCTGACACGTGTGTGTCTGTTGTGTTCTGTGTCACGTGATCAATTCTCCTCGTCCCTCTGAAACAGCAGCTGCAGGTTGTTTTAGGGGCGAAGAAGAACTGTACCAGAGCTTAAACGGAGCTAACTATTACTAATTTAAATAAATTACGTGGTATCGGATCGGTGCCTGGACTCCAGTATACTGCCGATACCGATAACAGCATTTTCGGCAGTATCGGAGACATTTCCGATACTGGTATCGGAATCGGAACAACTCTACTTACAACAGTCACAGCCAATAAAATACCTCACGGCCATCATCTGTACTATCCCTCACCCCCCAACAGACCTGTCAGTAAAACTATTAATGTTGCACTTCATAACCCTGTTTGTGATTACTCATGTACTATTACACAATGCTGCATTACTTAGGTCAAACTGTATTTTAACCTGTAGACAGAAATCTGAATTCTCTGTTTAACTAATTCAGGCTGGAAACACGGCACATTTTGCACATGCCCTTAACTACAATTAATGGTAATTTTAACATTTGCAATGGACAAAAACTGTTCCTTAACTTTTCAAGGACCATAACAACATTTCCATGACCATTCACAACTCCGGTGATAAAAACATGTAATTTCCTATAAATAAATAAATTGTCCCTGTTAATTTTGTTATTTAAAAGCTTGCATAATGAAGTTAACATAGGAAATGTTGGGTTTTCATCAGCGGTAACTTAACACGATTCTTATAGAGCTGTTAGCAAACATGAAACAGTAAAACAAAGCAGATATCTAAAAGTACAAACAGGGACGCAGGAGAGAAACTTCAAACCACAGAAATTCCGTTAGAAACTAAAAAAAGTACTGAGAACTGAAGACTCAAAGACGGCCACTGTTGCTTTAAAAACACATTTTGTTAACATTTCTTTCAAGCATCAGATACATGTATTCTTAATGCATGGGCCACCTGACAAAGTGCCACCTGAGGTACATTGATGCATATTAGAGCTATGTTACGTTATGTGGACCGTTACCCATGGAAGATTACTGTCACAATTAATTACATTAGACACAACAAAATCCATGGCTTTTCCAAAACTTTGATGGATTTAAAGGTGGTTTTCTATGGCCGTGGGTATGAAATGGATTTGCTGCTGAATCGAAAATGTTTTACATAGATTTTACTCTTAATTAATATTCTTTACTTGTATATTTAACTTGTTTTTCTGTGTCTGTATTCATAAATTAAACCTAATTTTGAAGAATTCACAAAACACTACAAATGTACTGATAACAATTAACACCTTGGACTTGCACTATGAACATATGAAAGAGTTATTAAATTCCTTGCAAGCTTATGAACATATCTCTACCTTCTTAGATAAAGTTAAGGAAATCTGATCTAGGGTTTCCTGCCCTACCTTCTTTACAGACAGTCCCTGTCCTAATCTTATTACATTAGGCTGATCTCTCTCTGTGAACTGATTTATCTCAAATGTGACACTATTTTTTTACACATCACTCTCTACAACTGAATTCCTCTTAGGCTTTTTGAATTATGTAGTAACCAGATTGCTCTCAGTCCTCTGGTCGTGTCTGAATATTTTAAAGTTGCTTGTGTGCAAAAAAAGTCAAGTAATCTGCATGATTTCATATAGACCATTTTTGTATCTACCTTCCATTGCTCAAAGGCTCAAAGTATAGAATGAAAATATCCAATAAATAACACATTTCCAGTTTGGATTATGTTGCTGCTGACACAGTGACACTGTAACAGATGCTTTTATCAAGGTCATGAATCATATCGCGTTGAGTGAGTCATATCAGCCTGATGCTGGGAAGGAAATGTCTGTGAATTGGTTTATTTTTTCAAAGTTGCTGATTCCATGTGGTGTACCACAAGGCTCCATTCTTGGTCCGTTGTTCTTTGCATTTGCTACGTTTATATGTGCTTGTGGCCTGTAAATAATAACACAAAAATATC